TAAGAATCAGGGGTCAGTCCACGTTCACCTAAACTACAGAAAATGATAATTGCATCATCATAGCTCCCCATTTTTGAGAGACAATCTATTAGCATGTTGCACATGACCAGATCAGGGTAGCATCCTTTATGTTTCATGGTGTCTAGGATCTTGAATGCATGGCTAGGCCTATGAGATTCCAAATATCCCTTTACTAAAGTTGTGCATGTTACCACAGTAGGCTTATGTCCACTAGAGACCATCTTAGCAAGCAATTGACCGGCAAAATCAAGTTTGCCGGATTTAGAATATCCATCAATCAAAATGCTCCAAACAGTGACAGAGGAAGGAACTCCCAAGACAATCATAAGGCTTAATAATTGTGTAGCCTTTGATAATTGACCTGACTTGCAATAACAGTTCAATACGGATGAAAATGTCTCTGGGTTAAGATAATATCCTTTCCTCAACATGCTCCTAAGTACAGATTGGAGATTAACCAAATCTTTGAGTGTGCATAGATTACACACAACAATGCTGAAGGTTAAGAAATTTGGGTACAACGTCTCCTTCAAAACTTGAAGTGCTACACTCCCACACCCGATCTTGAATAACACATCAATTAATATGTTCCTAGCAAAAGTATTTGGTGTGTAGCCATACCTGAGAATCTCCCCAAAAGCCTCAATAACCAAATCGTGCATTCCTCCGAGCCAGTAAATTCTCAACAAGAGCAATAAAACCTGTGGCTTTATCACAGAACCCACACTCACCAATTCATCAAGAACTCCTTTCAATGTCCCTAACCGCTGAGTGAGCCGAGAGACTACATTAACCATGTGTGCAAAAGCTCCTGTGAAAGTAATTGGGTTGCTTAGCACACCAAATGAAGAAACAAAGAGAAATTAGATCAGAATTGCAATTCAATAGAGTGGATTGTACAACTTGGGGTGAGGATAATTCTGGAAGTCCCTGGAACAGAGGAGAAATGATTGTGAAGAGTATCAAACAGAATATCATATCCTGGAGAAATGATATGAATTGAGGTAAGAAACTGGGATTTTGTTGAAAGCTTGAAGAGGCGTCTAGAACTCCATAACATTCCCGGTATGATCGCCTGTGTGCAGGCAAAGAAATGTGCAGGGCAGTGGGACAAGTGATGAGGTTATTCAAGTTTTAGCAACTTGGAAACTTGCAAACCTCCATACAGATTACCTGTGTTTTGTCATCCATGCCTGCAATCAAGCAAGACAGCACGCCAATCAAAAACACTGACACACTTTATACACGCAAATGAATTAGCACGGAAGATAACATGGGATGCTTAACAACAAAACAAAGTAATGATATTAAATCTGTTGGGAAGTATAAAATTGATCCAAGTGCATTCTACATCACCATTATTTGTAGTGTGTACAAATCTAACTATATACATATCTAATCGAACTACATATAAGCTTTCACATATACTCGCTTCATATCCAAATTTGACCACTCAGTTCATAGATTACCTTCACCATCTCGCATGTCTTCAATTTTTTTCATCTAATGCAATTTTTTTGGTATGCTGCAAAAAGGTGATTTTTTTGGATATATTGCAATTCTCTTTTGGTATGTTGCAAATAGAATTGCAAACTTTTATGATTTCGTTCTTTGTTTTGAATAATGCTCGGATCACATGATCTCTAAATAGCAAAAATTTTAA